ACGAAATCTGTGTCCCAATTCATGAGATCCTAGCATCTTCGGTGTTTGGCTATCGCTTCTGCTTTCATTCTGATGACATCCTCCCCTTGCACGCGCCCTCCTATCTGCTACCCCTGCTCCATGACTCCTCCCCACCCCGCCACTTCCTAATAAGTACGGAGTGGTACGTTACGACTGCAGTCTCACTTACCACCGCAAGACATTTCCTTACTGTGTCCGCGGGAGTCACATTTTCCATGCTTAAACCACGAGTACCTCGCCCAACTATCAAGTCTTAGCCTCCGGCTACCACTATGTCAAGCCTGGTCGAGCCTAGAGCTACCGGTAGTGGGACATACTTCATTTCCAAAAACACAAATAAAGAAAAAAACCTAGGTTACCAATGGTCCGTACACAGGACGTCTCCCCCGTACGTCCGGTACCCCCGTACGTCCGGTACCCCCGTCGTCCGGATTTTCGGACGATGGTTTTTGGGCACTAAAAAAAATAAAATAAAAAAAATGACAGTGTTGCACATGCCCTAGAGACCCCCCACAAAAAATTTTAGATGTTTCTGAGCATTTGGTGATAGGGTGGTATTTGGGGTGGGGTGGGGGAGGTACGAGGGGTTTTGGTGGGGATAGGAGGGGTATAGATTGTATAGGTGAGGATTAGAATCTTTGAAGATTTTTATTATTTATTATACTGGCCCAAATGAGCCAAAAATCTGGTGGCATATACCTTATGCAAGGTGAAAGCCACATGATTTTTTTTTTTTTTTTCTTTTTTTTTTTTTGGCGGTAGGTCGGACATACCCTGTCCGATCCAACGTCCGACCAGACGTCCGGTCCAACGTTCGACTAGACGTCTGGTCCAACGTCCAACCAGATGTCCGATCGGACATCCCGGACGGTAAGGGGGGTCCCGAACATCCGGCCCGGTAACCTATAAAAAAAGTAAAAATAATGAACGAGATTCTACTTAAATAAATAAATAACAAAATAGGGGAGAAAGAAAGAGGAGAGAGCAGGAAAGGAGGACGAATCTTATGCCATTATTGTGGAACATTTATTCTGAGTTAAATATTCTTTTTCGTTTTGTAGATCTAACAACACCGCACGGGCGGAGGCAGAGAGAGAGAGAGAGAGAGAGAGAGAGAGAGTATTTTGCAGATTTTCCAAAGGCGCAAGATGTTCAAAATGAGAATGAATCTTCCGATAAAGATTCATTCTCATTTTACATATTGGAACCTCTCTCTCTCTCTCTCTCTCTCTCTCTCTCTCTCTCTCTCTCTCTCTCTCTCTCACACACACACACACACACACACACACACACANACACACACACACACACACACACACACACACACACACACACACACACACACTTGCTCGCTCTCGTTCTCGTATTAGCGTTCGCGCTCGTACTTAAACAAAACCATGTTTTTTCATTCCTTTTTTTTTTTTCCTCTTATTGTCGTTGTTGTTTTTTTAAATGGAGCTATTCCAATCAGCGATCGGACTTTCATTTATTTGACCCCCCAAAAACATGTTTGTAAATGAGCCGCGTATTTTTTTTCAAATTATGTTAAGTACTGGTGGTTCACGCGTGCAATTGTTATATTTCGAGGAAAAATATAAGCATTTAATAGGTTTGCAATTAACTTGGGGAAAAAGGCGATCAATATCAAACCCTTCCAGAGACGATGTCCCACTCACTCCGTTGAGCTACCTCAACATTGAGTTTTTTATGACGTGCGATAAGGCACGACTTAGGAGATGCAAGAGCAAGGGGATCTAAAGGTTCTTGTTTTTTTTTAGAATCGATAATTTTTTTTATGATTTTTAAATCAACAAACTCGAAAAAAAAAAGTCATTTACTCAAATAGAAGGACCCCTACCTTTGTATTTTTCCGTTGAGCTAGGTGTTTTTTTTTTCTTCTGTGGTAGGCAACTCAACGTGCAATTTTAAATAAACGGGTTAATTTCTATTTTCACTTATAATTATGCCTTATTAAATAAAGTATGAGTTGACGTCCGACATATCAGCAAACCGTTATTCGAGAAATTTTGCTTATGAAACATCAAAGACGTTGACACACTAACCACATTCGGAATAAAATGCTTGAATGTGACCACAATCCATTGAGAAGTACATATATTCAAAGGGTTTTTTATTTTTATTTTTACCACCCGTGGCAACAAGATGATTATGCTCATTTGCATCGTTTCTGAAAACGTTCGTTCAATGTTTTATCCTTTACTTTTTGTGGTGACGTCCCTCGATCCTCGTAGGTGGGACTCGAAATAGAAAAAACAAAGATTTTGTGCATCCAGCGTGCATAGTACAACGTCAGACCCGTATGTTGTCCCAGTGCACCTAATTTCCCAAAATCGTCCATCACTTGAAATAAACATTCGATCTACGGACATGAAAAAGAAAAAACAAAAAAACATTTAAATGCGGTTTTCAAATTATTTTTTTATTTTACATGGATTAAAAAAAATGCCCAAAATAGTGTCACACTGTTGAGTTAGCTCAACTCAACGGTGCAAGTAAGACATTGTCCCCAATACTTATTTTTTCTTTTTCGTTTCAAGTGTTGTCAGTCAAAATAAGAAAATAACTTTAAAATCTAAAATAATAGTGATTTGAAATATGTAAAAAAATATAATTTTATTGCCATCCAATTTTTTTATTTTTTGAAGGCTAATTCTTTAACCCCAACCAATTCAGTTAACTGCCAAATCTAGACAGGATAGACTTTCACGCCTTTCTTATTCACATTATAGTATTATAGGGAGCTGCGTAGCAGGCACATTCGTGCTCAAGCCTCTAACAAGGGAACATGTGGGAGATACACCCACCATCAGGTACGATACTTGCTATAGCACGTGGGCGTTACCGACTAAGTGTCACCCAGTAGCATGAGGATTGAGCTTTTTCGATGGGGCGGTCACTGTGCATCCCCTACGGTCCCCTCCCCCTATGAACATCAGCGGTCTCTGCTCATTGCCACTGAGGGGACCAATGACATATCTCTATGTGGCAGGGGCCAAGCTTGCCCATGAAGGTAGATGAGGACAATGGGGATTGAACCCAAAACCTCTTGAATGCCAGTTGCATACCTTCAAGTTACCAACTGAGTTGCCTGTTGGACGCTGGATCTGTCAGGCGATGTCCCACAGGTATTTGTGGGATACACTTCACCTTCGTCCTTTGCTAGTGGAACCGTGCCCCAAGGGTGTATCAACTGAGCTACCGTTTGAACCCAAAAAAAACGTACGTACGTTCTATTCAACTTACTACCTTAAAAAAATAGGTTATCCGAAATTGCTGATTTTTTTTTTCCAAAGAGAATATACCGTCGAATATAACGTACATACGTTGTATTCAAATTTTTGCTAATTTGTAAAACAAAAGGGAAATTATGAAAAAAAAAGTTATACAACATTGCAATACAAACAACTTTTGTCTGAGAGGAATGTAAAAATTCACAATCGGATTCAAGAAAAAAAAAGAATAACAATATTTTTGAGGGCATGTTGCAGTGTTTTCTGATTTCTTAAACCAGTAGTACATTTGCCGCGTGGAAAAGCAGTGGGCCTTGGGTGGGCCTCTGATCTTTTCGGAGGCCGAAAGAAAACGACGGTTGCCGATCAGAATTATCAATGGCAGTCGTCAGGCCCAACCTCCGAAGTTTTAGGAGTTTGTGATAATGTCAACCTTTCCCTATTTTATCAACACTGGCGGAGGTACTAGTGGTTTAAGAATTTTGATTTTCAAAAAAAAAAAAAACTACGTTGTACGAAATTGCAATGCAAATAACTTTTGCTCGAGGATCTTGGAAAAATTCCCAACCAAACTCGAGAAAAAAAAATAAAAATGATGTTTGGTACTACAAGATGCTGCATAGTTGTACCCTAAAACTCGTTGTGCAACGTACGTACGTTGTATTCGGATACATTGTATTAGTATTCGTATTCAACGTACGTACGTTGTATTTGAATATGTTGTATTCGTATTCACTTACAATGTACGTACGTTTTTTTCGGCAGTTGGTTATTTCCGCCTTTGAATGGGGTACAAATGCAATTTTCCCTTTTTCTTTTTGGCACCGTTTCCTTGTCAAAGGCTCGGACCCCACTGCCCGTTGGCCTGGAAAACTTTGGGCACAGCACTGTTTTCCAGACTGCACCGGTGTGGAAAACGGGTATGGAAAGTCCTTTTGGAAAGGAATTTTGGACCCCACCGTGTATGGAAGAAGGTTGCCGAAATGTTGACGGGGTGTTTCTACACGGTCGGCGGTCAGGAAGTTCACTGCGAAGTCTTTCCAGAGGTTTTCCGAACAAGGCGTCCAGCTGAGTAGGGGGGGGGGGGCATGTCCTCCCATGGAATCGGAGGCCAGGTAGCATGTAGTCCAATAGCGGGAGGGTGTGGTCCATTCAACCGTGCAGAGGACAGTTTTGTGATGGACAGTCCTTACGGAACTTACCTATTCAGGAGGCACCCCTTCGTGTTTTCCTTTTCGAGAAAGTGGCACCGTTTCCAGTGCCCGTTTCGCGGTGGGATACCATTGAAATCTGCCAATTCCTTTCCAAATGCCTTTGCCCGTTGTTTGTGGCCAACCTGCTTTTTCACCCACCGGTGGTGTCCAGAGCCAAAGGGGAAAACCCTCCCTCCCAAAGCAAAAAGAAAAGTAAGAAAAAACCCATCCCAGTTGTGTCGGGGGCCGAAGTCCCACGCACGCCTCTCCATCACTTCTTACCCTAGATTGCAGAGATCGACGGTCACAAATGAAGGATACGGGTAAGTAGGACTTGGCTCTGGGAAGACGTTGCCAAGTGTGTGTGGTGGCCTTCCCGGGAAATACTTGTTGCTAGGTGAAGTCTTCGGTTTCATTTGCCTGACCCGGTTTCATTTGCTTGACCGTACGAATCTTCGCCTTGCTGCTTGAATTGCGAAAGGAAGCGAGCGGAACGGAACGGAACGGAACGGAACTGAACGGGACGGAACGGGACGGAGGGCGCTGATCAGGGGACCGCGGTGTCGAGTACGTACGGCCGCGGTTTGACGGGATGGGCTTGCTCGACTACAACATTGGGCTAATTGGCCTTCTCCATCTGGGCTATGCCGGATGGATCATCACTCAACGTACGTAACCTGTTTTTGCGTTGCTGTTCTCTCCTCCCAAGCCTCAACTCCTCTGCGCAGGTCGTTCTCTGACAATGGCGTTGTCATTGTGTTCTGTCTACCATCGCCTTCTCTCCTTCTCTCCTTCTCTCCTCTCCTTCTCTATTTCTCGTCTCTCCGTCTCTTCTCTGTTTCTCCTCTCTTTCTCTTCTTCCTAGGGTTCCATTCTGTTCTTTCTATCATCGCCTTCTTTGTTTTGTCTCCTGCTCATCTGTTTCACATCTTCTTTCCGGTTCGCCGCACGATCTGCCTGTTGCAGCCACCGCCGAGTGGGGAGCGGGCCCTCTTTTGTGCATTATGGTATTATTATATTATATTCCGCTTAGTTGTGTGGTTGGAATATTTTGCCAACTTCGCAAACGTTTTCTTGTTTTTTTTTTTTGGTTGATCCGATGAACCGCGGACTAAAAAAAACAAAAAACAAAAAAGAACCTTATCATCAGAACAGTTACTACACTTGATCTTACTTAGCCAACAAAGGCCGAGAAAGGTGTAGCTCCTCGCCCCACTACTCGCCACGTGTACAAAATACAAAAAGTATGGCAATGTATCTTTCCATGTTCTAGCGGAAGGTTCATTTTCATTTTGCACATTTGGTGAGTAGTAGAGCGAGACCCGTACTCGCAAATGGGTTTGCCACTGGATGACCTGCGTATTGCGTACGTAGGGTCTCGATCCACTACTCACCAGCTGGTGCAAAACGAGAATGCATCTTCATCTAGAACATGGAAAGATACACTGCCATATTTTTTTTGTCTTTTGTGCATGTGGTGAGTAGTAGAGCGAGGCCCATAGATCCGCAATCCTATGTGTCATCTTTGCGCAGGGGCCATTTTGGTAATTACCCTTCTCTGTATCGTGTTCCAACGTTAACGGATGTCCCTAAGGTCAATCTGCTGGATGTTTTTTCCTAACTACTGGCACTTTGACTTTTTATTTTTTATTTTATTTTTAGGAATACTTTGTTTTTTTTTTTCAATCTGCTGGATGTTTATTTCTAACTACTGGCACTTTGAATTTTTATTTTTTATTTTATTTTTGGGATTTTTTTTTTTTTTTCAATCTACTGGATGTTTTTTTCTAACTACTGGCACTTTGAATTTTTATTTTTTATTTTATTTTTGGGAATACTTTGTTTTTTTTTGAAGAGGTAATAAGTAATTACAGTAATACCGTAATTGGAAATCGTTGATAACCCGACCCGCCAGCAGTCTTTGCTGATGATAAATAATGCATTCCTGATATATCTTTCCTATTCCGGTAAGAATGGGTTTTTATCAGCCTCGGGCGCGCAGACTCATCAGCTTCGGATGCGCGCCGACTCATTTTCTTTTCCCGCTCTTTTCTTTGTTCCCGCTCTATATCCCCTCTCGTTTTTTTGTTTTTTTTTCTGTTCCTTGCCATAGGGTGGAAGTAGGTTATACCATTCTCCGGTTTTGCTGACTTGAGCAAGAGCAGAGAACTGACGGCATCAAGGTCGGACAATTGTTTTATTTATAAATTATAATAGAGAAAACTACGGCGCAGTCGGGGTTTGAGTTTGAAAATGCACTTGAGGCAAAAGGGCAGGTAATGGTGAATGTATATAACCTAGGTTTCGGGACAGGTGGGGTCCCTTGGGGGTGTGCTGTGTTCGCGGGATTGCCAGAAGTGCAATTTCAAACTATTTTTTTTCGTGACTGCGCCGAAGTTACCCCATATATATACTTATTATTTTTTATCCTGATCGTGCCACGTCAGTTCGCCGTTTTTGTTGACGTCAGCAAGAGCGGAGAACTGACGTCAGGACAGTGTCGCTGGTTTGTGAGCGCCTCCGGTCATGACAAGAGTAGGAAGATTCTCTTTTAGGGCTCTCTGGCATTTTTGTCGTTTTCCCTTGCTCTCTCTCTGTCTCTCTCTCTCTCTTGTTTTTTTTTTTTCTCAGTTGGTAAACGACAAGAGAGTTGTAAGATTCTCTGTTCTACCCGATTCCTTTCCCTCCTCCCCACCTCCTATCCACCTCCTCCCCACCTCCTCTACACCTCCTCCCCACCTCCACCCCACCTCCCTATCTCCTCCCTATCTCCTCCCCACATTCTCCCTACCTCCTCCGCAGCTCTCCCCTTGGTAGAGCTCTCTTCCCTTACTCGGGTTCTTCGTCTGTGGCCCTTTATCTTAGTAATCTAAGTTCGAAAATTACAAAAATTAAGTATTCAATTTACTTTGAAATCGAGTGGGACCTCGGCGATACGACTGAATGACGATGACCTGTCTTGGCCGAGACGACAGCGATGGCGATGCCCAAGTAGGATCACTGATGGCGATCGAAGTGCTGCCATGGATGGCGGTGACGATGGCGAAGTAAGTAGTGTCATTTTAATGGCGATGGCGAAGTAAGTAGTGTCATTTTAATGGCGATGGCGGCGGCGAAGTAGTTGCAAATGATTGCTATGGCGAAAGTAGCGATGGCGATGGCGAAGTAGTTGTAATTGATAGCGATGGTGATGGCTATCAATTACATCACTCATCATCATCATCATCATCATCATTCATCATCATCATCATCATCATCATCACTATCATCATCACTATCATCATCACTATCATCATTATCATCATCATCACTCGTCATCATCATCATCATCATCATCCACATCCTCCTCCTCATCATCTTCACCTTCATCACATCAGTTATTGTCTTCATCATTGTTATTCTGCCCTCGGCATCCCCCCCCCCCNCCCCCTAATGATCTTCTTATGATCAGCATCCTCCTCTTAACGTATTAACTTTGCCCATCGTCATCATAATAGTCCTCGTCATTATTTCATAATCTTCCTCATAATCATCATGGGGTCATCATCATAGCTATCATGATAATCATAATCATCATCATGGTCGTCATCCTACTGACGTTCGAATGGTCATCTTCCTCGTGGTGGGTGCCTTTTGTATTTTCTTTTCCAATCTTTCGCTCCCTCTCCCTTCTCCCCCGCTCACTCTCTTTCTCAGCGTTCCTTCCCATCCGCCCTTCCTTTTTTTTTCCTGTTTTTTGAAGGGTGACACCTTGAGATATCATCATTGAACTGACCGGTCCCGAATAAAAGTAATTTAGGATTCCCCCCCCCCCTCCATCTGATTGCATCTGAATTCGAATTTGGGTCGGTCTTTCAACAGTTCATGGTTGTGCCCCGATGGTCATCCTTCCTTCTTTGCCATCTGCCCATCTCCTTGTTTGCCCGATGCCTCCTTTTTTTTTTTTTTTCGAGGGGAAAAAAAATCACATCTCTTTTTCTTTTTTTTCCCTTTTTTTCAGGAAAAAGAAAAACAACTTTTTTTTTCCCCTTTTTTTTTCTCCACCAAAAAAGCCACTCATCTGTTTGGGCGGGAGCTTAGTCATCCTTCTCTGCCCACCCCCTCTATCTATTTATGAACTTGTTTATTAAGGATTTACATCCATCGAATTTAATTTCCCAAAATTTCGTTTATTCAAAAGTGGGATTTTTGGATTTCAATCGAACAAAAAAACGAAAGAAAGAAAGAGATCTTCACTCAAGTCGAGGTTTTGGGGCACCAAAAAAAAAAAAATCAAGCACTTTTTATAACGGAGCTTTCGTTTTCCAAGGTCGTGTTTAAGATCCCTTAAGACAATTGGAAAATCCACCCGGCCCCTCCCCTCCCCCCCAAAAGAAAAAAACTTAAGAAAAAATAAAAAGTCAAAATGTGGCTATGAAGTGGAAGACGCTTTTCCAAATTTCTCATTTTTATGAGAACAGGTTGGCTTAGGGCTGAAGGGTGTTTTTTTTCCCTATTTTTCTTCTTTTCTTTTTTCCTGTTTTTGTTTTTACATTCTCTTTGGTCTTCTTTGTGTCACGGGCCTTGCGCGTTTTCAATGAATATATAATTTATGTATAATTTATATATAATTTATATGTAATTTATGTATAATTTATCTAGGTCTGTGCGTAGGGAATATAATACATATGTGAACC